GACATCTAACAGTAGAAAAAATTAATACAGAACTTGGTTACTCAGAAATAAAACTGGACAATGTTAAATTAGTTAAGACTTATGATACAATTTTACATGTAGTTAATACTGAAGAAATTTCGAATATTTTAAATACTTTTGAAGCAAACATAAAACTTGCTAACTTAAACGAAAGGGAAAACACTTTACAATTTCAAGTACAGACAATTCGTACAAAATTACAAACACTAGTTCCACACAGACAAAAACGTGTCTTAATCAATTTCGTAGGCACAGTACACAAATGGCTTTATGGAACAATGGACAACACCGACAGGTTAGAAATCGAAAACCACTTAAATGTTATAACTCAAAATAATCATATGGCAATAACCAACATTAACAAACAAGTAAAGATTAATCAGAATTTTAATGAATCTTTCGTGAAACTTAAAGAAGCAATAGAACAAGACAGAAATACAATTTCGAGAAAATTTAACATGATTCGAGAATATGACAAACAATTACTTACACAAACAATTTACACTGACTATGTATTAAAATTAAAAATCTTACAAGACAACATAGAACACTTAAAAGATAACATGTATACTAACAAATGAGGAAATCATCGAATACGATATTGATTTTGACAAAATGCAAAATATTAAATTAGGGACTCTAATAGATGACAAAAATAACTTAATTCGCCATAAATATTCCAAAAGAACTTATAACATTAACAAATTCATTATTAATACCAATGACCGATAAAACTAACAAAGAATTAAAATTTACTCCAGAAAACATTGTAAAATTTAATAATAAAACTTTTACCTATGTAAAAAATACGGACTTGAAAAATTTAAAATTATCAAGCCATTGCTTAGTAAAAAGAAATTGCAATAAATCATTTAATAATATATCAGAAGTTTTGGAAATTGAAAAAGATTTAGTATTTGCCAAAAATCAAAATAATGTAAATCTTTCTAGTAATTGTGATGAAAGATCTTTTCTTCTCAAAGGAAATTATCTAATCAATTTTAATAACTGTTCTATAAATATAAATAATTATTCAATAAAAAACGAACAAAAAGAATTTAAGCATTGATTTTTATTACTAGATTTAAAGAATAATATTACAAATCTAAACAATAAATTAAATTTTGATAACATTATCCTAAATCAAATTGAAAATCTTAGCAAAATTACAGAAATTAAGTATAAAAGAAAATCTTATTATATATATGAAATTATAACATTTATATTTATAATTACTATTTTGGTCACAATTGTAATATTTGCTTGGAAGTACAAAATTTTTAAAATTAAAACAAGGAAAGGAGGAGTCATGCCAGTAAACTCAAGTAGGGTCGATTCGAAAGACGACACCTCATTTCCGTCGTCTTTCTTTTATAAAATTTAACAAAATTTTCCGTTAACTTAAAATAATAAAATTCTTTCCCACAAATTTCATAAATTTCATATTTCTTATAAATTTGCATAATACAAAAAAAACTCATAACCAAACAGTAATTACTTTCACATAAAAGCTAAAATATCAAATTACTAAAATAAAATGAACACACTTAAAGTAATTACTGCTGACCTTAAGTTAATCAATTCAATTTTAAAATCAATTATTATTAAGTTTACTCTAGAATAAGTCGGTTAACTGTTATTCCGAAGAATAAAGTTAAATAAATAAATAAGTAACTAAAATTTAAATTTTGGTGTTTTTATTTTTTTATTACGGAAAAATAAAATAAACGTAATTCGCACAGCAAATAAGATATCCATAGAACCACAATTTGCAAGGCCTGGAACCAATATTTTGCATTGGTATAAAAGCGTACAATGCGTTGTCACTTGATATAAAAAAACTTAAATGAGTACAAATTCAAAAAAAAACAAAGGGTTTAATCTTAACTAATTACTAAATTAATTTAATATTTTGTATTTGACTTTTGTTATTGTTATTATATTCTATTATTCTATTGCCATCTGCTGTATATAGAAATTCGTTTATTGAATTATTTAGTGTTTGCTATTGTTATATTTTAGTTATAAGTAAAAATAACAATATACGCACTCTGTACGAGCTAATTAGCTCTTTTTGAGTTTATATAATAATAAAAATAAATAAATAGTTGTAGGACCAAAATAAAGAACTATCAATCGCCTGTAAAACAAGTTCCTAATGATAACTCTATATTATATGGGTCCAAAATTATAGGCATTTATTCATATTCAGGAAAAGTCTGGAATTTTTTTTTTTAACAGGCCGTAGCTCGAAAACCAGTATATCTGCACCTTTAATGTTTTGGCTGGAAATTCATCAAAGAATCATTCTTGAATTTATTCAACCTTAAACACGAAAATGTATGCAACGAAAAATGCGAAGTCGATCAATGTGAAGTTCAACTACTCAATCATCAGACAGAATTACCTGAAAGTTGTATGATATCAAAAATGAATCGGCAGCAAATATGGATGCATATCAAAACCACCTTTAACCAACTATATTTACGTTATGTAAAAAAAAGAACGTTCATCTTAATGTCAATGTTGAATGTTCATGAATGTTAAAGTTGAATGTTCTTCTATATAATCATCTATATAATAATACTAGCACTTGTATTATGGTTTATTATCACAAATAAAGTAAATGAAGAGCTCAACAAGAAATTCCACAGTGTCAAACACGAATTCGTAATCGTTCATCAATGACGGTTCAAGACTTCTCACTTGCCTTTGAGAGGAAGAATATTGTGTAATAATAATTGTTCTGAATTCTATATTTTTTTACTATTATTTTCGCATATATTAAAATTACCAAAATTACTAAAATTATAATTTTTCATAATTTAATATAAACGCACATGCGTTTGCAAATATTACAGCAAGTTAATGTTAATATTTTCCCAAACATAACTTTCTCACACTATTTTAGTAGGAGTCAAATTACATATTTTTATCGATTACATTGTGTATAGGTAGGTTACGTGATAGCAACAAATTCTGCATATCGAGTTTTCGGTGGGAGCACACTTCTCCATCGTAGGGAAGTGTAAATAAACTATTTTTAGTAACCTGTCGATCTGTCAGTCTGTCGGTTAGGTCGGTTTGTGTGTGCACTCGTGGGTCTTAAGTTCGGCTGAACCGATTTTGATGAAATTTTATGTGTAAGTCTATTTCGACCATGGCACGGATTGATCAACTTTAAAAAAAGTATTTCTTGAAATTTCATATATAGGTTTTATTCGACCGTCCGCGAAACCTCATAACTTTTGGGAAAAACCAAGTAAAGAGAAATAATCAACCGATTACATTGAAATTTAATTTTTAAATTCTTTGTATTAAAACAATGAATATATAAATTTTTTGAAAAGATCGGGGCTCGGAAACTGATCTGAGGTTCAATTTTACATTTTTTACCATATCTACTTGATTCTAGAAATTTGATATTTGAATTCTGGTTGTTACTAACTGGCGAGCATTTCAGGGAATTCGGGTATCACAAAACGAAACTTTATTAAGGGCGAAATTTACAGTTTTCTATGTGTGTTAACTATAAGCTTACTAATACCGTAAAAATTGGGAAGAAATATTTAACAGGCATTTTTACAATATTCTGTAACACTTTTACTTAATTAGACAATACACATTGCGGTCGGTTTTTTTTTATGTTTTTATTTGTTTGTTAATTTTGCCTTTAGTAAATTTGAAACCGATATGACACGTAAGTTAACGTGAGAAAATTATGAACTTTATAAACGCACAAAATTGCTTACAAGTCTGTTTCTGTGGGAAATAATTTACTCCAAGTAGTATAATCTTGTATAAATAGGTCAGATTTTTAATAAATAAATTAATTAACTTCAAACCAAGCAACAAGAAGTGTTTTCACGTAAATTATCCTAGCAAAGGAATTTGCAAATTAATGACAACTCAAGCGAACAAAAAATGAATCCATAAAAACAGGAATATGTGCAAATAATAATGTACGGCATTTTCGGTTACCACGACAGCTTATGTTTTGGAAAACTTTGCACAAATTCTACCGCAACAACAATTACATAAGGACGAATGAGAAAACATTAAGAACATACAGTTACCCGAACCTGAATTTGGAATTTCTGAAGATCTTATAGCAATGTCGTTAGTGAAATATTGCTTAGTGGAACAATAAAAGGACAACCTTACCATCCAATAGTCGTGGTTTTTTGGAATATGTCAGGGCTCGGAAGCTTTCATATATTATAAGCTTGAAATTTCATATGTAAGCTTCATTCGATCGTACATGTAACCCCCTTAGTTTGGGATGAAATCAGGTGTCAGAAATTGGACGTGAATTGCGGTTGTTATGTGCTGACCACATCAGATTTTGTTTATTCGATATTATAGCATTTGTAGTAATACGAGTATAATGGCGAAATCTAAACTATCTTTAAAGTAAGTTCATAAAATTCTACAAAATATTGCAAAAAATATTAATTGTTTAGTATTAATTTAGGCGTGAAAACAACGAACGAAAGACAATTCGAGCACTTATTAAATTAATGGAAAGTAACCGCGACATTGCTGAAGGGATACGAAAATTCAATTGTTTTTGCAAAAAAAGCAATAACAAGGTACAATTGTTTGGTGTAAACCTTATTATTTTCGGTAGGTTTTGTGACTTCTTGCGGTAGCAACATTTTGGATCAGGTGGTTGAAAGCATTCGCCGATCATAATTTACAATGTCATTCGATTCGCCAAGTCCATTCGACTCGCCTAGCCATTCGCTTCGCCGATCATAATAAGGATAATAAATTTAATTAGCATAATTTTTGCATAAATAGGTGGGATTTTTAATAAATAAATCATTTGTCTTCATACCAAGCATTTTGTAGTTAGGTTTTATTTATTATTTAAAAGCATTTGGTTTGTAATAATAAGATTAATAAATAAATAAATTAGATGACAAAGTAAATTAAAAATAAAGGATTAATTTTCGCACATATACGTCTTAGATAAAGCACTTTATTATTTCGTATACTTGAAGTTTATTATATACATTGTTTTTAAGTTTGAATTTTACAAACCTATCACTAAGAATTAGTACACTGAATTGTGATGTTCGTAGTTATTGTGAACATGCAAGTATGATGGCACAGATGAATTTAATTCAGATGCACGCCTTCGTAAAGCGGCTATACTGTGTCCTTTCCATATATCCTCATTATCGTCAGTAGGTAAATTTTGACAATTAGAAGAATTATTATCGGAAGATTCAAGCTTTTCAATTTGTTGATGATGATGCAGTTGAGTTGACTGGGAGTCCTGCAATTCAAAAAATGGAATTTATTATTACTTACATTAAAGATTACAATAACATACATTTATGAAGAATGTTAGTAAACTTTTTTTATGAACGAAAAGAAATATTCAATTTCAAGATGTTGCGAAAAATTCAAAAGAAATAAAGTTAGGTCAAACCAATGGTTTGTATTGTAGCACTTTTCCCTTCAACAAGTGAAAATTCTGCTTTTAAATACAGTCTATGTACACCTATCACACTATTAAAATTATTTTCATTCATATTTAACTATTTCTAGGATTGCATATATTTAGGATGATGCATTCATGCAGTCTTTGAAATAAAGCAAAAATTAACATAAAGAGGGGTTAACATAATGCTCGATTTTCAGGTTTAATTGTGTGAGTTAAGAAAAATAATTATATTTTTTAATGTCATGGGGTTTGCCGCTAGCTTTTTATGTTTATAGAAATTTGAAAACGTTTGCGGTTTCGGAAATATAAGGCGCCAAAAAATTAAATTTTACAAATTTCAAGAGGCGATAACAATTTCAAGAGGTGAGAGGAGGTGGAGATGGAAAAAAATTTTTTCCTAACGAAATGAACTATTTGTTAATTTCTATAAGCCCCGAAAATTGCAAGCTTCTACAGGCTGGGGTCTAAAAGAAAAACGAAATCAAAAATTTGCAAAAAAAAAAACTTTAGATAACGGTAAATTTGAACGGCCATTTTGTTTTTCTAAAGCTTAGCTATAGTATACCGCGCTAGGGGAAGCAAGACGCTGCACTTATGCGTTTGCAAAATTTCAAAAATGCTTATGGTTTCATTGCAACAAATAGTTAAAAAAGGGCATTTTTAGGTTTTTGGGGGGGTATAACTTCTAGAGGGGGGGAGATAGGTAAAAATTTTGTTCTACGGAAATAAGTTTCTAGTAAGGATCTATGTACATACAAAATTGCAGCTTTCTATATTCAAGGGTGTAGAAGTTTTGTAAACAGACACACGGAAAGACGGACGGGCGGACGGACGGACAGAGTGAAACTAATAAGTACTTTTTTTCAAATTTTTTTTGGAAAAGTGCTTAAAATTATGCTAATAATAACTGGAAAACGGTTACAGTAACTTTTTTGAATATATGTAGTTCCGGTAATTCGGCATTTTAGCATGTAGTTTTACTAAAATAACAATGTATACAATGATATAGAGTATATTTTGACTTCTTCCATTTTCAATTCACATTTTATTTTGTTCATCTTAAATTAATAAAGTATTAGCAGCAAAAACTATAGTGAAATTATGCTTCTTATTACGTTTTCATTAAATTTCTTTCTCGTCTGTTTGTCTGGAAGTCAGATATAATTTTCAAAAAACTTTTAAACTTTAACATTTCAGTTCTCAGAAGACCTACCGAGCTGGGAAAGAATTTTTTGGGAAGGTCTTGATGACAGCTTCAATCCCATTGGTTCCAAATAGCTTTTCGCATACTCAACAAATTTTGTTGAAGGACGCCTGAAAATAAATTCTGCCAGGGTCCAGGCGGCCACATAGGTCTTAAAAAGCCAACTTGATGGCATATCGTTGAAGACTTCTCCGCGTGTTATTAATTACTGAAGACGATCCCTTTGCAGTCCAACCCTCAAAATATGTTCTAAAAAGGCGAAAATATAAAATTCCAAAATACAGTCTAGTGGGGTATCGATGAAAATAGCTCGGTGTGTTTAAACTTTTGTGTGAAGACCCTCCAAGACCAAGTCCCGAAATAAAAGCGAAAATTGAAGATTCATAAATATAGTCAAGTGGGTTACCGTTAAAAAGATTTCGGTATATTCTAAACTTTTGAGTGAAAGTCCTCCCTGAAAATCGATCGCTGTTTGATATTTGTTTTATTTTGTCCAAACCACAAACTATGTCCTGAGGAGATGAAAGCTAAGGGTTTGTAAGTATAGTTAAATGGGTCTTTGCAAAGGTCTAAACACGCACTTTAAATTTTGTTCGGAGACTGCCCTGAAAATCAATTCGGCTAGTGTCCAGATCCAAAAGTAAGTTCACAGAAGGCCAGAACCATCAAGTAAAGTAGCGAAAGGTTTCGGTGCACTCTAAACTTTTTGTGAAACCACGTCGAAGGAGATTGGGTGAATTTTCAAGATATTTAAAGAAGTAGAAAATAGTATGAAATTCAGGATTAACAAAATCTTCTCTTATCGAGAATTATAAAAATAAAACGCGATGCAGAAAAAAACAGTCTGAATGAAACAATAACAGTTTGCTCTTTGACAATCTAAGTTTAAAAATTTGTGTTTGAAATATTTAAAAATAACTTTGATTGTTAAATGGCAATAACTTGAACCTGTCAAACCACTCAATAGAAACTTCACGGATATTATGTGCGGCGGCCGATTTTCATGAATCTAGCCTTAATATTATATTTAGCTTTAATATTTTTCTAAATATTTAAACTTAACTTTCGGAAGAGTATGGCAGCTACCCGAATCTGTCAAGCAATTCCATCAAAACTTCAGAAATATATATGTGCAGGAATCCGACACACGACTGCCGAGTTTCATGAATCTAGCTTTAATATTTTTCCAAATATTTAAAATTAACTTACGGAGTTGTATATGATAGCTACCTGAACCTGTCAAACAATTCCATCAAAACTTCAGAAATACATCTGACCCAAAAATTGGATACATGACTGCCGAGTTTCATGAATCTAGCTTTAATATTTTTCAAAATATTTAAAATTCACTTTTGGAGTTGTATGGCAGCTACCCGAACCTGTACAACCATTCCATTAAAATTTTCAGAACATATGTGAAGTGAAATTAAACACATATTTGCAAAATTTTATATCAATCTCTCCATTACTTTTTGAAATATTTAAAAAAACCACTTTGAGTTGTATGAGAGCTAGCCGAACTCATTAACGATTGCATTATTCGTTTTTGAGTTATCGTGCGATCGAACGGACGGACGGACGGACTGACGGACATATCTTTACGACGTGCAGGGTATAAAAAACATCCGAAGGTAATATTAAGAGCCCGTTATATCAAGTAATATTAAGAGCCCGTTATATCTAAACAAAAGCCGATTAACATTTAAGAGGTTAAAGCAACTTTTATAAAGGGCTGAAACATGAAATTTGCAAAATTAATTGAGAAAATTCAAAATAACAGCATTTAGTTGAAAAAATTTATCTCTTCGGAGATGAAATCAAAATAAGAACTTGATAGCAGTATAATGGTAAATTTGTTTCGAAGATATAATGGTAAATAATGGAAGAATTTTCAAGTTTGTATACAAATCCATAGTGTGAAATAAGCAATCTCTCTTGAAAATTTTTCTAATAACATATTTTTGCAAAATCAATAATGGTCAAATTGTAATTTCAAAAGTCATAAAAATAATTTCAAAAGTTATAAAGCCATATTGTAATTTTAAATGAAAATACCGTAATTAAACATCAATAGAGTTTGTGTAACCAAATTTCATTCAAATAACAAAAATTAGGTAATGCAGACCGGAAATAAGATTTTATAAATTTTGTATGCGCTAACCAATTAAAAATACTATTAATAAACACACCTAAATACTTGTATTGAATAAAGACATCTACTGAGAGGCACATAAAATATCATAACAAATAACAGAATGTTTATTTTTGTCACTATAAATATCACTGCTATTCATAAAAACATTTTCTAGGTATGTTATAAGCTTACTAACGCCCTAAAAATTTGAAAGAAGTATTTAACAGGCATTTTTATAATATTCTGTAACACTTTCACTTAACTAGACAATACACATTGCGTTCGGTTTTGTGCTGATCACATCGGATTTTTTTTTATGCAATTTGAAATAGCTTGCAGTTTCGAAACTATAAGGCCCCAAAAATTCAAATTTCACAAATTTCAAGAGGTGATAACGAAAAACTTCTAACGAAATGAATTATTTATTAGTGTCTAAAAGCTGCAAAGATTTCAGGCTCCTAAAACGTGAGGTCTTGAAGGAAAGTTATATCACAAATTTCGAAAAAATGGATTTTAAATAACGGGAAATTTTGACGGCCATTTTGTTTTTTTAAAGTTCACATATGGTTGATAAATTTACTAATTCTACGCCAAATACGTTATATTTTATTAAATAAATCACAATCCAAAGTTTGATCCATTTAATACAAATTGATTACAAACTAATTTTTTTTTATTATGCATGTGGAGCAATCTTGTATTAAGTTTCTTTTGGAAAATGAAGCAAAGCTTCATTAAGATATTATTAAAATAGCAAATAAAAATTCTTAAATAAATTACATAGGTTTTTAAATTTTTTTTTTAATATTATCCTCGATATCCAGAATACACAAAACCTGTTTACTGCACAATTCAGAAATTTACTATCACAAATTACTGCTGAATTTTGTAATTATACTGTATTACTGAATTTTCGCTGCAAAAAAATTTATTAACATACATTATGAGATACAATAAATTATGTTATGTGATGGTAATAGGGGCCAAATCACATTTTTATACCCTGCACTTCGTGAAGGGTATATTAACTTTGGTATGGAGTTTGTAACTACTTGAAGGAGTCATCTGCGGTATTGGCATATATATATTCTTGCTCAGCGTAAAATTCTGCGTCGATTTAGACATGTCCGTCCGTCCGATTGCACGATAACTCAAAAAAGAATAATGCAATCGACACCAAACTTTCACAAGTTTTTTCTTTTGTGACAAAGACGAACCCTATTGTTAATGGATTAATTCGGACAACGGGTTCGGGTAGCTGCCATACAACTCAAAGAGTTTATTTTAAATATTTCAAAAACTAATAAAGCTATAAATATAAAATTTCGTATACATGTGTGCAATTATATTCTACGCATGCTCTAAAAATTATAATGAGATAGCTGCACCGGTTCGGGTGGCTGCCATACAACTTCAACAGCAAATTTTTTATATTCGGCAAAATAATAAAGTCAGATTCATGAAACTTGAAAGTCATGTGTCCAATTATAG